TGATATTCCATAATACAAATATACTCTAAATGCCATCCAATCAATTCTTATTACATTTTCTTCCACTTTCCCTTTTTTCTTCTTTTTTTTTGATTATGTTGACGTATAAATTGTTTACAAAATGAAAACATCTTACAGGTATTTCAATTCTTCTCGAAGATATCAAATAACACTTACACTCACTTTTTTAGGATGCACTAAAGGAACTCAAACCGCTACGTCACTAATCCTACTGATTTGAATTTGTTGAAAAAACTTTACTGCTATTTAATGAATTATTCCTTCCTTATTTTTGTAATTACTTTCTATCAGTCAAATTTGTTACTTGAAATTTAGCATGAAGCGATCTGAGAGATTTGTTTATCAAATATGAAGAAGAGTTATACGATACAAACATTATCAAATTTTCATTCTCTTTTCAATTATTCTGTTTTCCTATACTAAAAAGCTTTTTGCCTTTTATTTTCTCGTTGCCACCTTTAATAATATTTGAGTATTGGATTTTAAATATCACAAGCAGTGGTAATAACGTGAGAAAATTTAATAAAAATTACTTTATTATAATCGTTAAAGAAAAGTGAAAAAGTACGAAAACAAAAAAATCATTTAATATCTTATGATACTAAGAAAATTCCTTCTGATTAAATATAAGTGAATTTTGCAGAAGTTGTGTTTATCAAATTGGATTCAATGCGATTGAAAAATGACTATAATTCAGATTTAACAAAATTTGTCAACATACTTGACATATATTATTGTTTTGTGTATAACATTGAACCATTCTTTCCAGTTACATTTGTTTTAATTTCAAATTATGATAAATGATGAGAGAAATTTGATATTATTGTAATTCTTGAATCGATCATCGTACTTTTTATAAAAAGTACAAATGCGGAAAAATTTCGCCCATCATAATCACCAATACTGTGTTTTCTGATTGATACAGAAAATCTACTGACTGATGGCATTCGTTAAAATAGACTTTTGGAGAATGATTAAAATGTTTCGAACATATTTTCTCTTTAATTATTAAAAATTATAACTGAAAATGATTCAATTCGAAAACTGCATTTCTTCTAATTCATAAATAATTCAACTTAGATATCATAATACATTTGCAGTATGATGACAGTAGATTTGATAAAAAATTTCTCGCCAAAAGCAAAAAAAGAAATGGGTAATTCACCCATTTCTTTTTTTGATAATAGAAAAATCACCCAGAAAAGCACAGTATTTTTATTAAAAAAATCATAACATAGAAGTAAAAAGGAAAAAATGCGGGAATAATTAATAATTATTGTGGCATTATTGTTACCGCCGAGCAACAATAGGTAAACCTTGTATAAATTGAAAAACACTTTATCCATTATAGAAAGAAGTTTTTTAAAAATATATGCATGCAATAAAATATAAAAAATTTTCATCAATGTTAAATGAAATAAAAACAATTTTATATTTCGATCTATGAGCAATAACACTAAAATTATTCATTAACTCTGCTAAAAGAGTTGAATAACCCGAATAACCTTAGCAGATTACTTTATGGTCGTATTTAATTTGTTATCAAACGGTGGACCGTTCTCAGAACCATTCATTCTCATTCTACTCTTTCATTTTTTTTTTTAACTTCCACTATTACTGCTGTATATTTTATCTTCTGAGAAAGTTTATTGTTCAATTGTTAGCAATAAATTTAACATTCTGTCAATTGGTCCAACAAAATATTAATGTTTTATTTGACGTAAGCTATACAATGAACTGAAAAATAAGGATCAAAAGAAGTAAGATGTTTCGCAGTAAAAAAATGAACGAATTCCAAGAAAAAATTCAAATTAGGAACAAAAAAAACAGTATTTTTTTTTTTAAAAAAAAGAATAAAGCATTTATTTCTTTTATTTGCTCAAATTCTAGCAGTTAGAGAAATCAAAAATGAAATGTTGCGGAAGAAGTCAAAATTGCAGTCAGTAAAAGAATGTAAAACAGGTTGAGAAGTGATTCGGATCAAGAAATCAAGCCTTATCAAATTAAAGACTTCGAATTCTTTAAAAGAAATATTTATTGTAAATATTTAAGGTCATACAATAAGTTTTATCATTGATGAAAAACATCAACAGCTGTTGATGATACATATTGAAATGAAGTAAAACTAAAAAAAAAAAAAAAAACAAACACACATTAATATAATATTGATATAATACTAATGCTGCTATTCCAACAGAAATTTGTTGAACTCTATGAATGATTTAAATAATTTCTGCCGCTTTATTCTTCTGTCTCATTGCGTTACGTCCAAATTGTTACAGTCAAAAATACAATACTATTTAATTATGTTTGAAGTAGTAACTAAATGAAAGCAATGGAATTCGTTTACAGTATTCAGACCACAGTTTGTATAAATTTCTATTAGAAATGATTACTAAGCAGTCGCAATAAACATAGTTGAAAAAAAAATCGGAATTAGCATGCTCCTCACATTGTACTCATTATTTAAACATGTTTCTAGTTTAAAACAGTTTTTTCAGCTTTCTTTACTCTGTAATTCCTACTTGTTTCAACTTATTAAATTAAAGAAATTGCAAGGATTAGTTTGCTAACCGTATCGAAATAGTTTTATTTAATAGTTTTGAGAATGTGATTAGTTTAAGTTAACATTATTAAGCGCTGTTACTCAAGCAATATGACAAAATATCTATACATAATTTAGAAGTGTTGAAAAGCAACAAAACTGACTGCTTTTAAGAAAAAATCTCTGCTAGTCTTTGTCGCAAACTATAATTTCGCGAAAACTTCTAATCAATTTCATAATATCATAAATCATCTCTCCTTTTTAAATTGTAAACAGTCTCACGGTTTCAAAAATCATCTCTCCTCATCTCTCCATAAATTTGGCTTCATAAGATTTATTACTCATGTAATTTTATGTAAAACTGAAAATAGTTTTCATTTTAATCTCTTTGTAAACACTTCAAATTCTTCACACATGTGATTTTTATCTTAGACACACCAATCCTCACTCATATAAATTCAATTCTAATAAACAAAAGGATTCATTGTCATTATTATCAACTATTATTCTGATAACCAACCTCAATTTTCTCCGGTCTTCTTTTATTATAAATTTTCTTTTTTATTGCTCGGTTTATTAATAATATGTTTTCAAAAAATAAAAATTTTTTAATCTCCCTAATGTATTGCAACTATACAAATATCAACCAGATAAACCTTTCACGACAAAAAATTTATTGGTGCCACGAGCCGGGAGTCATGTCAAGCAACATTATTGCAAGCCTTTAACCGGCAAAAGAAAAGTTAGTCAATCTTCTTAAAGAAATAAATTAACTGGAGATCAAATCTCCAGAATCAAGTATGACAATAGAAGAAAAAGAAGATTTTTATATAATAAGAAAAAAATTATTCGAAGATAAACTTCGAGGAATCCAATTATGCGTAACTACGCTTAATTCTATCAATGATAAATGGTTCACATACACTCAACAAATCGTCACAATGAAAAGAAGAGAAGAAGAAGAAAAATACAAAGCAGTAACAGAAGGCGACCAAAGAATATTTCAATATTGCACGAAGGAAGGGGAGCGATAATAACACTAATAATGCACAAGGATGAAGCTGACCAAAACTTAACGCAACTCTCAAAGGAGTTGACAAGCAAACAGGCAAAAGAAGAGGTAAAATTTATTCCTTCAAATATTAATGTAAATCTTCCTCATTTATCGCTCCCTACTTTCGATGGAGACGCTAGACAATGGCGACAATTTTGGAGCAGTTTTAACGCAACAGTCCACACACAAGCAATTCCAGAAGTCCAAAAACTGAATTATTTGTACTCATGCCTCAAAGGAAAACGACATTACTATACAATGAGCTCCAGTCAATTAATAGAAATGAACAAGAATGGATTGGAACTATTGAGAAAATAGAACGAGAAGCTTTAGGAGAAAGCCTCGAACATTCAAATATCGAAATTTTGATCGAGAGTAAATTACCATCATGGATATCAAATAAAATATATAGACGAAAGAAAAAGGATATGCATTGGTCAATTCTCAAATTAAGAAACTTTTTGACAAACTTAGTTAATGTGAATGAGCAGATTAGAAACAATATTAAATCTACAACTACCAAACCTGAACAAAAACAACGATACAATCCCGGAGGAACTTCAGCATTTCAACAATAAAAGATAATCAAAATATTTCAAAAACTACAACAGTGAAAAGAAGACCATGTGTATTCTGCAGTCGAGATCATTGGGACAGTGATTGTGAGATTTACACGACTCTCAACGCTCGACTGAATCGTCTTAAGGCATTAAAGAAATGTGCTATTTGTCTTAAAGACAATCACAAAGGACAAAATTGTAAAGCCAAAAAACAATGCTTTTATTGCAGAGCCTCAAATAATAGTGCTTTATGTGATAAAAGGAATTTACTTTTTTTGAACAATACAATGTATCAAAGGAATGGAGAACAAGAAAAAATCGTACCTTCGAAAGAAAGGAATTGTTCAACTTCTCTTTATAACTCGACATTTACAAGTCGATCCAAAGGGACAAAAGAAACTTTACTTTTATGCAAGGTGATAAAAGTCTTCAGTCCATTACAACCTCAACACAATAAAATGCTTTGGCATTATTTGACATTGGATCACAACTCTCCTTCACTTCCAAAAAATTATCACGTCAATTAAGGTTAACCGAAACTCAAATTATGATAATAACTCCATTTGGTATGAAGGAACCGAAATCATGTCCCACTGCTCGCATACAACTAAATGTGCTAACTACAGAAAGCGAAATCATACTATTACAAGCAAATATAATTGATTATCTAACGAACGAACTGCAGGTAGTGAAAACATCGAATGAACTTCAAATTCAAAATTTAACAAATTATTGGAAAAAACCTGACGTATTGATTGGAGCTGATTAGTTTTTCAAATTTATTAGTCTACCAGAAATCAAGGAATTAAAATCAGGGCATATGTTGGTTCAATCAAATGGTCCTATGATTGCTGGAAGTGGAGATATTGAGAAATTTTGTAAGAACGAATTATATCCTAAAGAAGTAGTATATTCTACAAACGCCAATACTAACTCGGAGTTAGAAAAATTTTGGAAGTTAGAGACGATTGATATTCAAAAATCATCTCAAGATGATGATGATGATCAAGCTTTAAAGCATTTCAAACGAACCATCATCAAGCAGGGTGGAAGATATCAGGTTTGTTGGCCATTGAAAGACTCCAAACAAAAATTAAGCAATAATTATGGTTTATGCCTGGGACGATTGAAGACAACCATCTACAACATAATTCAAATCTCCATTTATATCATCAAATACTTATGGATCAACTACATTCGGGTATAATTGAAGAAGTACCTCCAAAGGATGAGGTAGGCGTTATTCATTACTTACCACATCATGAAGTATTAACTCCTAGTAAATCAACAACTAAATTAAGAATAGTATATGATGCCTCAGCACATCACAAAGGTTTTAAAAGCTTAAATGAAGTACTACATCGAGGTCCAGTAATGCTACCGGATTCAGTTGGAGTAATATTACGTTTTCGGATGATGAAAATAGTAATAACCGCTGATATCGAAAAGCATTTTTACAACTAGAACTACAAAATGAGGAAAGAAATTGTACACGTTTTCTTTGGTTAGATGATACTGATAAAGAACTAACCAATGAAAATATAAAATGTTACCGATTTAAGAGAGTTCCTTTTGGGGTAATATCCTCACTTTTCTTATTAGCAGCAACATTAAATTACCACCTAGAAAATAATGGTAGTGAATTGGCATGGGAGATAAGAAAGAACTTATACGTGGACAACGTTATTATATCAGCTAATGGAACAGAAGAGGCCTTATATAAATATGAAAGAACGAAAGAAATTTTTGGTGAAGCATCGATGAACATAAGAGAATTTCTTTCAAATGACGAAGAATTTAATGAAAGAATACCTGAATGCGACCTAAGCCAAATAAACCAGGAAAATTTTCTTGGTCTTAAATGGAACCATGAACAAGATATTATCCGTGTGACACTGAAACCATGGATAGGAAAAAGTTTAACAAAGAGGACTATCCTACAATTCATAGCCTCTCAATACGATCCATTGGGTCTTCTCGTTCCTATAATGATCAAACTTAAATTATTCATACAACACTTATGGAAAGAAAATATTCCATGGGATCAATCTTTAAACAAACAAGACGAATCTCATCAAAGAATGGCCAACAAATATAATAGAGCTGCCAAGATTTGTAATGGAAACTTCACAATTAACAGAATTCCATATATTTACTGACGCTTCGAAAGTCGCCTATTCTGCAGCTATTTATATTCTCAATCATAGATATCAAGACACATATTCGAATTCATTCTTAATTTATGCTAAATCTCGAATTGCTCCAATTAAAGGTATGTCAATTCCTAGACTTGAATTATTATCTGTACTAATTGGAGTAAAAGCAGCTCAATTCGTATTGAAACAATTAAATCTTGAAAATAATCAAGTTACTTTGTGGACAGATTCAAAATGTGTTCTTTACTGGATCCAGAATTATACAAAGCTGCTTCCCAGATTTATACAAAATCGCATCGAAGAAATAAGGAAATCTAACTTCGAATTAAAATACATACCAAGTGATCAAAATCCAGCAGATATAGCCACCAAAGGATTATCACTACTTAAACTTCAAAATTGCAAACAATGGTGGAAAGGACCTCGATGGTTGGAACTCAAGAAATCTGAATGGCCTAAGTGTAAACTTCGTTATTCAGGAAACGATGAATTTGCAGAAGCTATCGCTTTGAACTTGACAAAGATAACTCAAACTTTTAAAATAGATACAATTGAATTTATTGACGAACATCGCTTCAGCAGTTGGATAGAACTAATTCGAGTAACTGTTTGGGCTCTTCGATTTATTAAACAAACCTGCAAAAGGAAATTAGTGTGGCTACAACCATTATACATAAAAAAGAGATATATGACTAAAATTGATTACGATATAGCGAAAAACATGTTGATCAAACAAGCCCAATTACAAATGTTAACAGAGGACGAAAAGGAAAAATGGAATCTATATCAAGATGAAGGTGATAACTTATGGAAGTTAATGAGCCGACTGGAAAATTCAGAATTAACGGACGAAAGCAAATATTCCATATATTTACCGAACCGAACCATAGTTATACCACCAATCTTATCATTTTACACAAGCATAATGTATTATATCACGCAGGAATCGCACATACGTTATCTGAATCAAGACGGAAGTTTTGGGTACCGAAAGAAAGAGCTGCTATAAAACGAATCATAAACTTATGCTGTTCTTACATTCGCTGGAAAGCTAGACCGTTCAAACTGCCAGCGATGCCAAGTTTACCAGAAACACGAGTAAAACGATCTAGAACCTTCGAACAAGTCGGTCTAGATTACATGGGTCCTCTTTCAGTCAAATCTAATACCAGTCTGGTCAAAAGATAGATAGCACTTTTTACGTGCTTTACTACCAGAGCGGTGCATCTAGAAATGGCGAAGAATTTATCTGCCGAGAATTTTTTACATGTTTTAAGAAGATTTATCGCTCGACGTGGATATCCAAAATTAATATTAAGCGATAATGTAAGCCAATTTCAACTGGTATTCAAAACCATTATGGAAGAAAACGCTAATTTTTTGGCGACAAAGGGTATGGTATGGCAAAATACTACACCAAGAGCACCATGGAGTGGTGGTGTATATGAAAGACTTATAGGACTCACAAAAAGGGCATTAAGAAGAGCAATAGGAAGAAAACTTCTAAAGGAAAGAGAATTAATAACATTAATAGTTGAAATAGAAGGAATCCTTAATACTCGTCCATTAACTTATGTAGGGTTTGACGACTACAGAATCATACGCTCAATTGATTTTATATCACCTATCGCCTCATTAGATCTACCAATCAATTATGATAGTGATCAAGACGAATATACTCCTTATACAATAAAGACTAAAGATAAACTAGTCAAGTATTGGATCAGTACTCATATCACATTAAATGTCTTTTGGAAGTTGTGGAAAGAAGAATACCTTATAAGTCTTAGAGAACGTACACAAAGAGAATTAGCATCACCTAGAATAGTGGAAAAAAGAATACCACATGAAAATGAGATAGTATTATTAAATGAAGGAGAAATACCTCGTGATGAATGGAAATTAGGAAAGATAATAAAAATTAAACGAGGATGGGATGGAAAAATAAGAAGCGCAACAATAGAATCACCAACTGGAAAACAAATTGACCGATCAATAAATATGCTTTATCCTATGGAAATAGATGCTGCTGAAGATATAGAAGACAAAGTGGAAGATAAACCGGAAGAATCATTGCTAGACGAACCAGAAGTGCTAAAAAATTACAAACTACGGTCGATTCAAAGGATAAGTCTAATCTTTTGATAAAAACTTTATCATTGATAACGATGATGTCGTTAATACCAAGACAGGTATTAACAGCTGTAATTGAATTTCTGGAGTACCCTTTAATATTCCTGAAAATGGAATTGTGAAGAAATTATTAACAAAGATGCTACATATCACAAAGTGGATGTGTACACACGCATCCATGTAAGAAAAACAGCTATAAAATGTAACAACATTACACGGACTTTTTTTTTTTAGAATATTACTATGCACGAAAGCTTTTTTTAGAATATCACTATCTGTAGTATCAGACCATACGTCTACTACTGCAACTTCCTCACAATTCTGCAGATATTTAAATGTTCGAAAACAAATGAATGGAATTGGACTAATTCAATCTTCTCCTAATCAATGGATAACGAATAAGGAAATACAATACTCCTATGGATGTTTAGGAGTCAACTGTCAATCAACATCAAATTTCATATTAACCCAAGGAGAAATTCTCCTATACGATGGAAGAGGATTAGTCTCTAACCTTAACGATCCTTAACGATATAAAGGATTGTTTGACACAAAAGGGGGAATGTATAACAAATACTAACATTATCATATGGAATAACAACGATACAACCAATCATTGTTTGTATCGAAAGATCGGAAGATCTAAGGCTACAAAGTATAACAAACACTTCATCATCGACGAGCTACAAGCATCGCTTATAATTAATGAAAACCCCCATATATTAAACATCAAAAATTGTTGATTCACCTCTCCACTTTTAATGCAAGGTGATATAGTTATTGAGGTAGACGTTGAAGATGATTCGAACTCTACTACAAAATTCAAACGAAGGATTATAAATAAACTATTAATGATGGAAAAGTTTCCTGACAAAAAGTTCGATCCTGAAAACGTAAAACTTCAATACCTTTTCGATTCACAAGAATTCATTCAACAACTCAAACAAACGCATCAAAGAAGTTGCCAAAACAGAAATAACTTATTACTGTTGATCAAATGGTTATCAATCAACAACCCTACACTTTCCGCGAAACTAATAATTCAAAGAAACGATGTGATAGCTAAAAGAATTAACGGAAATTTGATGGTGGCTCCTTGCAAATCAGAACGACCGACAATCGAAAATATCGAATTCAAAAGAGATTTAATAAGTAAGTTTGAAATTGAAACAATTAACGCAGAATTAGAAATCCTGACTCAAAACCACGAAACAATCAATTCAATACCACATCAAATGAAGAATGAATTCTTTTGGCAAGAAATTTCTGAAGAAGGAGAAAAAATTATTGAACAAATGGAAAGGAAATTTAACGAAATTGTTCTACCGATAGAAGAAGAATTTGAAGACGTGATGATAACACATTGGAAATTGATTTTTGTCTGTATAATTATCGTGACAATATTAACTATTTTAGTTATTATTAAGTGGAAATTTAAATTAATTCAATCTCTCCTTTGTAGTACTCCAAAACAAAGTTCAAATTAAACTACTATCATTACTCTCGCTATGGAATCATCACATACTCAATTCCTAACTAAAGAAGAAATCCCACCCATTAAACTCCATACATTTAGCTATATACCTCAAAATCACTCTCTCAAAATTACATCTTAAAACAATTTCTCTCCCGCTTTGGGTGTGTCGCGAATTATAATTTCGCGAAAACTTCTAACCAATTTTATAATATTTTATAATATCATAAATCATCTCTCCTTTTTAAATTGTAAACAATCTTACGTTTCAAAAACAATCTCTTCATAAATTTGGCTTCTTAAGATTTATTACTCATGTTATTTTATGTGAAATTAGCCCTTATCATAATCTCTTATTTTTAAATTCCTTGTAAACACTACCAATCCCTCTTCACTTTAATCTCTTCTTTGTAAACACTTCAAATTCTTCACACATGTGATTTTTATCTTAGACACACCCAATCCTCACTCATATAAATTCAATTCTAATAAACAAAAGGATTCATTGTCATTATTGTCAACTATTACTCTGATAACCAACCTCAATTTCCTCTTTTTATTATAAATTTCCTTTTTTATTGCTCAGATTATTAATAATACGTTTTCGTAAAAATAAAGATTTATTAATCTTACTGCTGTATTACAATTATTCGAGTATCCATCGACAAACCTTTCACGAGAGTCTTCTCATTTACTCTTCT